GAGGGAAGACACTACTACAAAGTTAAGTTGCTTCAAAAAAAAAAAAGTTGGTAAGTTGGATGTTATACAGGAGTTACTCAACATGAACGTTATTCTAAGTAAGAATACAAATAGTTTCACTTATTATTTAGATAAATGAAAGTCTGCAAAGAGTATGCAAACAGTATCGGTGACAAGAAGCCGGGAAGGTGACAGAGAGGCTGGAAACTCCTCCAAGTTTATAACTAGGCCGTTACGAACGCTGCGGCGCCTCGCTGCGGGCCCGCGACCCGCTGCGGCGGGCCCGGCCGGTGCTGTGGGCGGCTCCATGACACCGCACCCGCCGCCTCGCCCGCTCCGGCCGGCGGAGCGCACCCGGGGCAGCGCTGTCTCCGCGCCGCCTGGCCCCGCCCGCCCGCGGAGCCGCTTCCCTCGGCCCCTCTCCCGCGTCACCCCGGCCGGGCTGCGGCGGGGGGAGGGCTGCGGGCCGCCCAAGGTCACAGCGCCGGCACCGGGCCGGAGGGTTGCCGGCTCCCCGCGGGGCCGGGCCGGACCAGGCCCGATCCCGCCCCGCACGGCCCAGCCCGGCTCCCCCCGCCTCCCGCCGCGCCTCGAGGGCCGCCTTCCCACCGCCCGCACTGCGAGACCGGGCCCGGGTCTCCCCTCCAAGGACGCCCAGCCCCTCCCGCCGCGGCCGGAGGAGGGCGTGAGGCGAGCCCGCCTGCCCTGCAGGCCTCGCTCCGCCGACGGCCCGGGCGCCGCGGCCGGCCCGGCTGCGTACTCACCGCTGCGGAGACTCGCTGCCTCAGCCCGCCGGCCCGGGGCAGGCCCATGTCCGAGCACGGCTGCCGAGGAGACGCTACGCGGCCATGGCTGCTGAGGCGGACCGCGGCGGTGTTCCTCCTTCCTTCCCTCCCTCCCGGGCCTCCGCTCCCCCGCGGAGGCGGGGACTCTCCGCGGCCCTATCCGGGCCGCGGGGCCGGACACGGGACGCGCAGGGACGCGGCGGGAGCCTGGCGCTTGGCCGCTGCCCTGCGGAGCGCGGGCGGGGACCCGCTCCGGCCGTGGAGCTCCGTCGGAGCCGGGGGTGGGTGGCTCTGGGGGTGGTGTGAGAAGAAGGGAGAGGCAGGTTACCTCAGATCGATGGCACCCGAACTGGCTCCTCGGGGTCAGCCCCGGGGAGCGTTCGCAGGGAGCGCGGGACTGCCCACAGCCTCGAACCGCCGCGGCTGCCGCCCGGGCACTCCGCAGGACCGAGGCCGCCGCGCCCGGAGGGCCTGGCCCCTCGTTTAGGTTTCAGGGCGCTTTGTTATCGAGACCAGCCCACTCAAAACGGGCTCTGAGGTCTGTCACATTTTGTGGGACACCCAGCGTTCGTAGGGGGTGTTCAGCTGGCCCTCCGGCTGCCTTGTGAGATCTGGTGTGGGAAGGTGAGACACCTCCCCTTACAAAAATACCGTGGTTTTTTTTTTTTTTTTTTTCCTAGAGAAAAATGCATTGACTGGAGACATTGTAAGTTCAGATCGCCTTTTTTATTGATGGCTGTGTTTTCAGCACAGCATGTGGTGTTACTACAAGCATCATACCTCAGGGATAGCAGGTACGTGCTGACATGCCAGTATAGTCATGCTGGGATTTAAAACACTGGGAGAAGGGAGGGGAGGGGGTGGTGCTGAGCCTGTTTCCAGCGGTGAGGCAGGTTGTGCCATCAAGATCTTACACAAATGGAAAGATGGTCTGTCCCCCAACTGTGTCAAGGTGGGGGATTCAATTAAGATACTACAACCTACTGCTCCATTTTGCCAATGGAAATGTCTTGTGAACTGGAGTTCCCCGTGGCCACTTTGGGAAACAGGGAGGTCATGAAGCCAAAATGAGAAAGATGCCTGTCTTCATGTAGCCTTGCAAAATACTACTGATTCATTGCCCAGAAAGCTTAGTTGTATCACCGCACTTAGTGGTACAGTAACGTTGGTTGGCATTGGGTTGACATGAAAGGCTCAAACAATATTCCCCATCTCTAATTTGCAGTGCATGTAAGTGATCAGACATGTAAAAGGTTCTGGGAGAAGTACAGCTCTATGTCTTCTATGTTGTGCAATCAGAGAGGTTAATACCAAAGTGAGTTGATCAACATTAAACTGAACTGAATAGTGTTAGTAACACAGTGCTCTTGTAAGTGCCTTTTTCAGGACTGCTCCATTTGTTTTAGCCAAGATGGGTCATGCCAGAAAGCTGACAAGATGTAAGGACTAAGTCCACTGATGTCAAAGCTTGGGACCTATGTGTGCAAATTCATGTTTAGTATCATGCTTGCTGATGTCCAAACTGGACATGGAGTGTCCCTTTTATTGGTTCTCCTATATGAAAAACTTGTGTCATAAAATCTTTTGGCCCTACTTGTATGGGCAAACCCCACCCATATATAGAAAGGTGTTGGGGAGGACCAGCCTGTACAATGAGCTTTACCATATTCAAGAACTTGTTAAAACATGCTAATATGTTGATTGTGTTACAACATGCTGCAGTGTTGCCTTAGGTTAAAACACATTTTCCTATCAGCACGTATGTTACTGTGTAGCAGTATTAAGTAAATAAAAAAAGAATTTTAAATAGTAGAAATCAGTGTTCTTTTTAATAGAATGTATTAGATTATTTAGTTAATAAAAACTATAAATTATCTTATAAAGTAGGGTAAAATAAAGGAAACTAGGTACTTTACAGATGTGAAATGTGTTTTGACTTGCCTACATAAGACATCTAATGTCTCTCTCTTAAACATACTTTTGCTGAATTCTGTCAAAAATCCCAACATTAGATGTGATTATTTTAAAGATGGAAGTTGTGATCATAATAATGAAAACTCATATACCATGCTAATGGACTAAATGCAGACCGCATTCTTCACCTCTGTAAAAAGATTTTCAATAATACTGAACGTTTTGCTTTTCCATAGCACTGCAGCTAACACAAGGCATTCCTGCTTGGTGGCACATGCCTGTGAGTTTTCTGTATCTACTGCTACTGTGTAAGTGAAAACCCATACCATGGTACGCTAATTACTTGTTGAGAGACGTAGACACTTACCAATAATGGAAAAGGGATGTGATGAAGGCTGGATTTAAGGTTTCTATACCCTGGTGACAAGTGAGAGCCCCAAGGAGGTGTCTGGACTTGTTCTCTAGTGCCGCCTTCTGGCTGATCACTCGTAGAAAGATAAGTCAACAGACCCCTGAGCCAGGTGATAACACATAAAGAAGGATTAACTGGCTTTCCAAAAACCGTATGGAGAATTCCTGCCTGTAGCCTGACTCAAATCAAAAATACTGCGAGAACTGGAGAGGGTCCAGTAAGCGCTACCATCACGCTCAGCTGGGAGGGCTGTTCCCCCATGGCCTGTGGGAAATGCGGTTTTCTCTCCTGGACTGGGCAAGTCTATTTGAGCAGTGACTGAAGGGTTCACTTCTGTGGTTTTTGTGAGGTGATATTCGCTCTTTGGAATATGGGTATTTGTATTTGTCCAAAGCTGAGTTAGGTAAGTCAAGAGCCAAAAATAATGGATTTGTAAACAATGTTATACATATTCCTCTGATTAAAAGTATCTGGTAGGTGTTATCCTCTCCAAAATAAGAGTGGAATTTTGTGATACCTTCTGCTGAAGGATATAGATAATGGGATCTATGCTTCACGGTGGCATTTTAAGATCTGTGACTTGGAATACCTTAGGGGAGAACATGAGCGTGACCATTTTGCACAGCTGAAATAAAACCAGAAGTAACATTCCAGGGGCTGGGATGTAAGGTCCAATGCCAGTTTGGGACTGAAGGCCAGAGCTCTCCGACAGAGCAGCAAGGGCTTAGGATCACTTTGGAGTTGTCATGCGTACAAAATCTTACCTCCATGATCCCAAAGCGCAGCTAAAGCCCTACCTAGGGGAGGCAAGGCAGCAAAGCCCTTGCTTAGACAGGGCACCCTCGCCTGGGAGCACAATCGGAGCCCTAGCAGCCACAAGCCGGGAAGAGCAACCCTCCTTGCCCTGTGGCAAAGAGGAGCCCCGAGGAGGTCTACGCGCGGTCCCCCGCCTTATTTCTTCAGCTGCTCCCAGCGAGGCTGCCCCGCAGCAAGCTGCTGGCTCGCCTCACACCCTCCGGGGGTCGGCCGAGGGCGGCGGACAGGCAGCGCCCTACTCCCCCCCCCACCCCCCCCCCCCCCCCCCCCCCCGCCGCCGGGCGGGAAGCGGGACGGAACATGGCGGGCCCCTCCGGTCTCCGCTTCCCCGCCTTTCCCCGCGCCACGGCGCATGCGCGGCGGGCGGCACCGTGGCCGTATCCCTCCGCCGACCCCCTTCGGCCGGCGATGTCGGTGTAATAAGATAATCCCCGCACCCCAGGGTAAGTGCCGGGCGCCCCTCAAGCCGCGGCCCGCGCCGCCTCGCGCCCGGCCGCGCGCCTGGCGGCGGGGCAGCGCGGCGGCGCGGAGCCCCTCCCCTCCCTCCCGCTCGCCGTGTCCCTCCGCCAGGCGCAGCGGGGACTTTTGTGTGGGGCTTTTGGGCGCCGATGAGCGGCGGCCTCCGGCGCCCCTGGTTGTTGTCGCGGCGGCGGCGGCTGGGCCGGCAGCACGGTAAGGGCCCATCCCCGCGCCCCGTCTCTCCCTCACCCCCCCGGGCCGGCCAAGCTTTTCCAGGTCAGTCTGCGCCTTTGTATAGGGCCCTGTTACCGGATGTGGAAGTTGATCTCTTCGCTGGTAAAAAATAATTCCACTTCCCCCGGAACCCGGCGCCGCGGCTCCCTCCGCAGCGCCCAGCCCAGCCAGGATTTCCTGTTGGGGAGAGCGGGCGCGCTGGCCGGCCTTCCGGGGACCCCGCCGCGCGGGGGGCGCGGGCAGCGCCGGCGGCGGCCTGGGCCGCGGCGGCGGCCTGGACGGCCCGCGGGGCGCCGGGCGCGGCCCGGGGGGCAGGGGCTGCGCCGGGGTCGGGTGCCGCCGCGCAGCCGGCGGGGCGGGGAGGAGAGGGGAGGGGGGGACACACACGGACACGGGGCGCCTCGGGGCCCCGCTACCCGCGGCGGCCCCGCGGGCCCGGGCGAGCGCGACGCGCCAGACGAGGGGCCCAGGCGTTGAGGGGCGGAAAACGGGGGGAGTGGGCAGGTCCCCTCGCGTCTTTCCCCGCCGGACAGCCCGGTCTGGGCCGTGTGGGGACGGTCTCGGGCCTTGCGTGGGGCGGGGTGGCCGCTCCCTGTCACGACCTGACACCCTGCGGGCGGCTGAGCGGCGTGCCGGAGCTTGGCGCCAAAGGTGCCCTGAGGAGAGGCAGCCCGGGTGGGAGGGGAGCGCTTCCCTCCGCTGCAGCGCTCCTCAGCCGGAATCTGTAACTCCTGCTTTGAACTCTTAATAAAGCGTATGAGGGGAGCATAAACGTGGGATAAGATGTGTTAGTTTGGACTGTTTTTCTTTCCTAGCAGTCAAAGTAGTTTCTGTTGGTGAGACACTGTCTGATAGCGCATCGGTGAAATGTGGGACGTCCTCTGTGCTTACAGTTTTTAACTTAAAGCAGTTTTCTGTTGTCATTTAACCTACTTATTAAGGTGGCTTGTATTTAATGGTAAATGCTTAATATTAGAGTTAAATGTGCTAGAAGTTGTGAGTGCGCACCTTGGAGTACTTTAGCTTAATGGCTTTTTAAAAATTATTCATCATTCCTAAAGTATCAGTAAGACTAAGCAGTTGGTTAAAGTGTATGTGCACAGAGAGATATTTGTAAGGGTACGTAAATATGTGTAAATAAGGTTAAGGGTGTACATGGCAGATGAGCATACACCAGATGCAGATTCTTGCTTGTGACCCACTTTGCTGGAAACTGTTTTCTAGTTTGTTTTAGGCCTGTGTGCCAGACAAACTGTTGAGGAAGATTCTTCATAATAAAATAGATGCTTTAATTAGAGAGGTTGTTGATTTTTGTTTGAGGATAATTTCAAGATTCAGTCAATCTGAGACATACTCTTAAGGCTGTAATATGGTTCAAAGGCAACATCACAAGCCCTTTGATTCTTCACACCAATCGTAGCTGCCTTAATGTGACCTTTTTGGTATCTAGTGACAAACTTACCTGTCAAAGCCTTGTAGCTTGTTGGCAGTGCCAACCCAAATCTCGGTTGGTGCCAGTGGTTCACCCTTGTTGTGTAATAATATTTTTTTAGATGTGGCATTTTGTTGCAGATAATGGCCAAATCTGTGCTCTCCTTTTTAAGGACAATACTTTTTTACCATCTGCATTATTTGATCGAGTTACATTGATGATTGGTGCTAATTTAAATTAAGGTATGAACCTAATTGAGGACAGACCTGCACAAATACAGGATTGACTATTTTAACCACTAAGCTATTCAACAATATGTTTGCTTTTCTGATCTCTTTTCTCAGATATTTTTTATCTGATGCATACATAGTCCGACATGAAGGTCATGTTGCTGTTTAAACAAACTAGAGGGAATTTAGTTACAAACACAACACAGTCATAGAGGAGAGCTGAAAGCACTGGAATTAAAGCTGACTGCAATTAATATTTTCGGGTAATCGTAATTTTCATAATAGATATGTGGATACTCTAAGCCTGTTGTATTAATTTTAAGATTTTAAGTACAAAGTGTGAAATCCTTGTCAAAATACAAGGAAGGATATGATTCCCTTAGGAAACAATATAGGAACTTTTTGAGTTTATCCCATATAAGTTGTATAAACACTATTAAATGATATATATGGTAAAATCATACCAAAGTTTTAAAGAGATGCAAGCCCATGGAAATACACCTGGGTATAATGCAGACCTTCTGGTTCATTTAAAAGTTTCAAAAGTGTGATTGAAATAAACAACGTCTTGAAGAGTTCTGAGTTAAGGTATTGCTCTATTATATCAGGATGGAAAAAAAAAAATAAAGGAAGTTGATCTTGTTACTTCAATTCCAATAAAGATCAAAACTTGACTGCTTGATTAAAAATTTAAATAGTTATTGCTAACAAATGGTAGTTCTAAATATTTTTGACCTTGGTATGGATAGGCATATAAAATTAGTCAGAAATCACTATTCTAAGTTTTGAGCGATACTGTACAGTTTTGAAATCAGGACAATGACAGCATTTCTGAAGATCGGGTCTTTAGAAGCATGTTGATTTTTTTGAAATAGTGAAAAGGGCATTCTTCTTCCAGGTGTAATGGGTGTGAGAGATGATGGGTCTTGAGCTATCTTCCAGGTACAGTTCTGCTGCATGTCACATCAGTAGGGAAGCCTGTTTAACAACCATTATACGGAACTTTGTCCTGGGGTTTTTAGGAATGATTGCAAATCCTTATTATAGATACAGTGTATATTGATTCAGTTTACCTTCCAATAAATTGCACTGCTGCAGTTCATGCTCTTCTAGCATACGTATGTCTCTTAGGAGCGTGTTTTAGTAGAAATACTCTGATGTCTGCAAGATCTCCATGTTAGAAGATATTCTGCAACAACTGTTTTGTGCCTGTTGATGCTGACCATCTCATGTTCACCACTGCAGTGGTGGAAGGGGAATAAGGCTCCCTCCAAGATCCTGGGGGCACGACACCAGTCTGAAAGGTGCTGTGATATTTTAAGCCAAACTTAATCTTCCTTTGGACTGTAGCCTCTGCTGCTCTGTTGTCTGTGGGCTGTGGTATGGTACCCGAGGCTTCCCAACCTGTTTGTTTTTCAGATCTTTTCCCTCCTCACAGAGCCCATTTTGCACACAGTTCCACCTAAACTCCAGATAAGTGCTGTTGGTAACAGCACGATGTTCAGAGTTTTATAGAATATAAAAACTTAAATCTAAGATGGGTACAAAAAAGCAGTATGATTTCCCATTGAACAGAAGTAAAATAGCAATAATAATTTAATGTAAGTTTTAATTAACAGTTAATTGTAGTATCTGGCTAATGATATTGTACAGAATGTATTGCAGTAATGAAATGTGGAAGTTCAGGAGGTAGTTAATGCAAAGTCCAAACCCAGCAGCAGCTTTTCTTTATTTATTCAATTGTAGACAAAACCCTCTATTCACACAGTTGTAGAGTAGCTGTTAGAAGTCTGAAAACGTACTTAGGTTGCCATAAGAATAACTATAACAGTCTCAAGACTTTGTATCAGAGTCAGTGATGTTTTTATTGTCTGAAAGAATCCTCTTATAAAGCATTACCCAGCTGTCATGCTAGCCAAGCTTGAAGGAAATGACACAGTTACTGAAGAGTACCCTCAACAGTTCAGTGGAGCTGATTTGTAACGGTACATGGAGTAGCAGCAGTACTTAACTAAGAGTGCTGCTTTGAAATAGAAATTTAATTTCAGTTTTAAATATATTTTATTGTACTATGTATATAACTTTGCTTTTGGTAGTATCACTGTGCTTATTGTAGTGTTACTAAACGATCTCAAGAGAGCAGCTGAAGAATTTTTCTGGAAAGGGAAGAAAGGGGAATTCTAACACTGCAGACTCTTCTTGGTATGTCCCAGTACTAGCAGTGAAAGAGTATGGGGGCAAGTGTGGTGCATGGCATTACGCAAGGGTTTCCTGACCTTACAGTACTGGTCCTTGGAATGGTCTGCCAAGTGTAGAAATCAGCTTTGGGTTGACTACTCTTGAGATATTTTGTGAATGCTAGTATTCATTAGTTAAAAGTGACTAAATGTGCATGAGTTTTGTTGGAAAGGCATCTTCAGTAGATGTTTTTAGTGCATTAGTGACGTGGGATTTTTATTTTTGAGTTCGACAGTGTCATTTTGCTAGGTTTTTAACTTCCACTAGATGGCCCAAGCATGCTTTCAAGTACTCTCTGAGAACTAAAACTTTTGCTTCATTTAGAAAATAAATTTGTGTTGTTTTAACTGAAGTAAAATTCTACATCATGAAACTTACGTAAACTTCTGTGATGCTCTGTGCTTGTTTAAAATACAGACACTTTATATCAACCAAGACAGTGTTGGTTAGTGTAAGTAATACACAGTAATGAAAATTACATCATGTATGATCTTCCATGTCCCTCTTTTTCCTTGATTAGAACATTTCTTACTGAGTGTAATACAAAGCTGTTTAGTTTTGCATTGAGGTGAGAACTGATGTATTGTCATTCTGATGGTCTGTTCAACAGCAGTGGTTCAGAGAGACTCTGAAAGGGTATTCATCTCAGGCTGAAGTTTGAAGTTTATCCCTAACATTTCCTGGGAGGGAGACTTGTATTTTGCAGGCCACCATAATTGATTTTTTTTTTTTTTTTTTTTTTTATTTTGCTGCATAGGGTTTCAGTAACAACTTTGCAGTTTATTTCACCAGTATAGATGTGGTCAGTGGGTTCTGAATAGGTGTAGTTGTTAAATGCACAGACTGTAATTTAATTCACCTATTTTTGTTGTCTAACAGACATCAAGTATAGGCTTGTTATCAAGGCTGTCTTTTTGGTTAGTGGAGAAAGACAGGTATACACAGAAGGCAGCTCTTACCATGAGTGTGGTTGGACACTGGAACAAGGCTGAGGAAGTGGAGGGACGTTCATCCAGAGACATTCAAAACTCAACAGGACCGAGCCCTGTGCAGCCAGGGCCTGTTGGGCCAGTTTTGACTGGGATATTAAACTAGGTGACCTTGAGAGGTCCCCTCCAGCCTCAATTATTCTGGAATTCCAAAAGGTGACTTTATTAGTTCATTTTCTCTACTGGTATTTAAAACCAAAATAAATACAAGTAAAATGAACTGTTGTCTTTCTGAATTAGTTCTTAACTTCAGTATTTTACATTAAATTCCAGCTTTCCTCTTGCTTCTAAGGACCTTGATGGGGTGGTATTAGACCACCAGAAAAAGTGTGTGTGTGTCTATGTATGCTTTTTTCCTTCTTAAATTGCAGCCCTGACCCACCCACCTCCCCCCCCCCCCCCCCCAAAAAAAAAACCAAAACCAAATCAACAAAGAGGATGCTATATTCCTTCATTTAACTTCTGCACTTGTCAGATGCCCTCCCTGTCCTTTTGTTGTATATCATTGTTCCTAGTGTCTCCCTTTAACAGGGATAGTAGATTTTCTGTTATTCCTGTTTCTCTTTTGCTCTTTAGGGAAGGGAGTCAGCTGTTGTCCCTTCCTCTGCATCTGACTACTTTTTTCCTTCCTTTTCCTATTGTCAGTATTTGTCCTGTCCTGCTACCTTCCTGCTCCTCTTCCCTTTTCTGGCTGGAGGCAAATCAACATGTCCGTGTGTATTAGAAAGATGGACATAAATGGAGTAGTATTTTGGTGAAGGGGATATTGCTGCCTGCAGCCAGTTCTGTAGACAAAGAGGTAATTGCTCCAGTTCATGGCTCTACTGACGCATGTTGGAGTTCTGCATTTGCAGTATTTCTGTCTTCCTTTCTAATGTCTTTCAAAGTCAATAACTTTCAGCTTATTGAGCAACATAACACACAGATTTTGCCAGTTGAGCCAGGTGCAGGGAACTTTCTAAATATGTTTGTTTTGTGATAGAAGTGTATGTTTAATGGGATTTCTTTCTGAACTGATACACTCTAATTTTGTGTAGGAAATTGGCTGCATGGCATTGCAACTGCTGTTACTAGTAATACAGGCTTAATTTTGCTTTTGACTGGAAAAGAAACTGATGAAAGTAGTTCCATTCTTAGCATCCTGGTAGTGGAAAACATAAGTATTGGACTAAAATGTTAATGATATATTTTGGTTAGTAGTGTGAGTTGTGGTTTAGTTCTAAATTTTCTTTTTACTCAACAAATTTAATAGCAAGTATGAAATAGTGGGTTTAAAAAAATGTTATCCTAGGAAATCTTTGATGCAACAGAAACATAGATAGGTGTTATTTGTCTACCCGTAGTTTTGTGTGCTCTGTATTATATGGAGTTTTGGGTGCTGTAAAAGGGAGATTATCTAAAGATGATGTGAAAGTTTTTTAGCTAGTATCTCGGTCATGTCTCAGTCAAAATTTTACACAACATTTTTAGTGACTGTAGACAGTTGAAGCAGATAGTGATGTTTGTTTTCAGGCAGATGTTTTAGTTCATATATCTGATGCATGTAATACGGTAATATGCTTATTGCATTGTTTTATAGCTAGGAATACAGAAATTATATTTTACATTGAACAAAGTGAAGTGATAGTGATGGACAAGATGTCAGAAAGGTGTTGTGTTTCATATCTATCTAAATGCGTTTGCATAGTATTACCTCCTAAATACATGTAGGTATTTTGGGTAAGTGAATGTAGTGCCTTTGAGCGCGTGATGTAGCAGCCATGGTGTACCATTTGAAAGCTGGACAGAGCTGTAGAAGGTTGCAGTATCAGATGAGAGCTTCTAAACCACTTTGTTATAAGAAATGTGCATCCAATTCAGTTTAAACTTAGTTTGATATAACTTTCCAGCTGCTGTGGTTACAGCATTGTAATACTGAAATCTTCACCCCAGTGTCAGTTCTGTTTGGCTGAGTAATTCTAAAATCAAGTTGCTTATTGCAATCAATAAAGCTTGTTCTCATGACTAAAATACCAACTCCAGTTTTTGAACTTTTCAGAGTAGTTCAGAAATAATTCTTTTAAAAGTGGCATTTGTGTGCTTAAAATAGTGTTAATGTTGTTATTTTTTCTTTATATTCCTTTATGACCTTCATTAGATGTCACTAGTAGATTTGGGAAAGAAACTTTTAGAAGCTGCACGAGCAGGTCAAGATGATGAAGTCCGCATTTTGATGGCAAATGGAGCACCTTTTACCACAGATTGGGTATGAAAACTTTTGCAGTGTTTGGTAAATCCTCTTACTTTTCTCAGCTGAAGAAGAAAATAGGATTATTACAGTTAAGCACTTCTCTTGCAAACCTTGAGATTTTCTTCTTGGAATTCTGCAGTCACATCATGTAACGTCTAATTCAAAATTAAAATTGTCTGTTTCTTCATATGACCTCTTACTGATTTCAGTAACTGTGAATGAGCTCATTCTGGTGGCTTTTAAGATGAACTTTGGAATCGTTAATGGGAGAAAGCAGCAATTACCTCCTAGCTATTGTGTTTATGCATTTAGTGCAGTAAGAGGTCTGAATTAAGAAAGCAGTCCCAACTACCTAATGCGTGCGGCTGAGAGCTCCCTGATACAGAGGCTCTGAGTTGTCTTTTGCAGGTGCCTATTTTTGAATATATTGTATAGGGCAGTCAGGTACCTAAAATTCTATGGTATTTATAAGCCCTTAAAATTCTCAGTCTACTTAGTGACCTGATTTTCAAGTTGACTGTTTTGAGCAGGAGATTGGACTTAAGTGACTTTCAGAGGTTCCTTCCAATGTTGGCCCAGCGTGTTGACCAACGCTAAAAATGGGGCTAGGCCCCTTGAAACATCACACCTCAAAAAGACAGAAAAAATATAGCACAGACCTCAAAATTTCTTCCAGTGAGCTGTTTTTAGTGCGTTGTGATTACTGGAAAAAAAGAAAACCACACAACTTTTTTTTTTTTGTTTTTTTTCCCCTATTCATACTCTGTAAAAGCCCCGACAGCTTCTTTCCTTGAGATTGTAAGGGAAAATTGTTTTGAAGTGGTGATTTGACACCTGAGTTTGATAGCTCCAGAACAAGAAGAAATACTTCATACTGACATCTGTTAAAACTCCAGTTTTTCCATTACTTTACAGCTGGGAACATCTCCACTCCATCTGGCAGCACAGTATGGACACTACTCAACAACAGAAGTGTTGCTGCGAGCAGGTGTAAGTCGGGATGCCAGAACGAAAGTGGACAGAACTCCATTACATATGGCAGCATCAGAAGGCCATGCCAGCATAGTAGAAGTCTTACTGAAGGTAAAGACTGCTGAAACACAGGGATATTACAATGGTTTATGATCAAATATATGCTATTCTTTTTAGTCATGAAACCAACATTGATATGAACATTTATACTATGTGCATTGAGTACTTTTGTTTTCCTATTAAACTGCAATTTATTTTAGCATTAAAATCATCACGGTTTTAAGTTAATTATTTATTGCTGTTTCAAAATAAGACTACTTACTAATTTGACATTGCATGAGTTACAGCTTTTGGAACCAAGACATGTTATGTTTTAGAGAGTCTTTAATTCTTTCAGGTAAATAATTTATTTGGTAGTTAGATTGAAGTGCTTTTAATAAATCTGTAAATGTAAGATAACAGGACATTATTGATGGAGAAAGACAATTTGGGGCTTCGTTCTGTGACCGGCATTATTTAATTGAGATACTTATAGTGATGTAGTTTATGCTGTGATCTTTTTTGTAGCATGGTGCTGATGTCAATGCGAAGGACATGCTCAAAATGACTGCACTTCACTGGGCTACTGAACATAACCACCAAGAAGTTGTAGAACTCTTAATAAAGTATGGAGCAGATGTACATGCTCAGAGTAAATTTTGCAAAACAGCATTAGATATTGCGGTAGACAATGGAAATGAAGACCTTGCAGAAATATTACAGGTAACTTGATTCATGATGTTAAGGGAACTTACAGAAAAGTACTTGTTTACACGTATGATAAACTAAGCTTTTAATACAGCAACTGTGAGACCATATATTGACTGATAATGCTAAACTCCAGTCTAGGTTATGACATGGAAATGAGATTAATGTTAGTAAACAGTTAGTCAATGTTTTCATCACCTACAAAGTCAAGGATAGGTATCCTTTATTTTCTTAAATTTGGGTGTTGTAGTAAACAGAACTAGTGTCTTCACAAGCAAGGGGTAAACTCGCTACTTTGCCAATATGTTTTGACTATACCCTAGTGTTCAGTGAGCTTCATGTATGAATATTAATTTCCTAACAACTGGAGATCAGGAGAGAAGAGATGGCAATTTTTTCCTGAATTAGACAAACGAGGATTGGGTTGTTGAAATGATTGGGATCGGGATTATAATAGCAATTCCATGGAAATGTGTGCTCACTGTTCAATAGTGTTCTTAAAGGCAAATTAAGTGCTAAGCATTACTGAGAAAACAGTAGAAAATAAAGGAAAAATACCCTTACACCACTGCATAAATCTATTGTTCCCCTGCATCTTGAACTGTATACTGTATGAACTTCTGGTCAGTTTCTTTAGCCTCCTCTTCATTGCAGAAAGGATATAGTAATTAGAAGTCAATAATAATTTAAAGAAAGACAGAAAGACTGCTATCTACTATTCATGACAATTGCTAAGCTGTTGGAGCCGATTTTCATGGTATATATCTGCCACAGCAGTCTTGGTTCTTCAGGCCTCTATTTTAGATATGTGAGCTGGCATAGCTACAAAATGGACATGTCTTTATATGGTCCTTTTTGTTTACAATAAATGATAGGAGAAGTAGCAGTGTGTCATTATTCTCTTCAACAAACCTTTTGTCTTTAGATTTCAGGCAAAACAAAAAACGTTTCTCGTGTACTTTACACAGAACACAAGATGTGGCACAAAGTGTGTATATTGCAGGATTCTCTCTGCTTGAGTGGAATATGCAATAATTTTAGTTTTTACTAAGTAATTAACTTCTTTATACGTACAGTTGGAATGATACTATTACTTTTGTCTCTTAGATTGCAATGCAGAACCAAATCAACACGAATCCAGAGAGCCCAGACACTGTGACAATACATGCAGCAACACCACAGTTCATCATCGGACCTGGAGGGGTGGTGAACCTAACAGGTCTGGTATCTTCTGCAAATACATCAAATGAAAGAGGTATTTAGATGCCTATAGGACAGCTACTGGGATTTTGTAGTTTAATTGATTTTCATCATCTAGTGAAAAGTCTTGAGGAAAAACAGTGGTAAGAAGAGAGTAGTTACCATGTTCCTCTTCAGTTTATTTTATGTGTTGTAGATACCTAGGTACTTTAAAACAACAGTCTTCAGAGAGATCAGAAGCTGTATTTGCTTGACAAACTTGCCTTCAGACTAGCACTTTGGTTCAGCAGAATGTTGGTGAGAACAGTGTGTTAGAAGCTTCAGTGAAATAATAATAAAAAAAGGGACTTTATTGGTTTTAAATTTATCAGCTAACTTTCTTATTTTTTTTATCCTACCAGATGAAACAGGAATGTCTGCTGTACAGTTTGGAAATTCATCGACGTCAGTATTAGCCACGTTGGCAGCTTTAGCAGAAGCATCAGCTCCACTGTCTAATTCTTCTGAAACACCAGGTTAGAAAGCTGTCATTTAACCTTATTTAATAAACCTAAAGTACATAACTGGCACTTTTGGAGATACAATTCATATGGAAATGAGATTACAATCTTCCTTCATTTTTTCAGTATGAACAAAATTTTTCCTTCACTTTCACCTGGACGGTTGCCAGATTCATATGTACAATTATTTCTTAATAAGATTTCTGACCACAACTGCTATTTCTGGGCCTAATGTGAGTAGCATTCATCCTGCTGAAAGCAAGCATAATTCAGGAGATTGAATTTACATCTTTGCCTACATACAGTTTAGTTGCATTTGGTGGGAGAATGTGGTTTTTTTTTTTTGATTGCTACTTTCTGTTAAATATTGGGAAATGGCCCCCATGTTGTTTGCAAATACTTTGTCAGCAGTTTTCTTAATCTGTCACCCAAAAGGCACAAAACTATTTGGTGATCTTAATGTGCAATTTCCCCATTAGAATGTCTGTGGGTCTTCTTTTCAACATTGAGGCATTCTACTTGTGTTTATAATAATATGTAGTAATTAGTATGTCCCACTTGAGGCTGTTATGTTGTCATGGCACTTCAGGTAAATGTGAGCCTAGCAATACATTATTGTTTTCCTAGGAAGAAGCAGCCTGCCTCCCTCACTGCAGCCGTATGCACGCTCTCTTATTCCATAAGGCCGTGACAAGAAGCCAGAAAGGCACAAGGAATTCCATTGCCCCTATTTCCCAAGTTTTGCATTCCTCTTTTGTAACACTAAACCCTTTCACCCCTACTGTATGGATCTTTGCCAGTTAATGCTTTGTCTGAAAAAAAATCTTTGGTCAAGGTTTCATACTCTGCAAGTTGCCCTGGATATCTTTCTCCATTCTTTTTAAATAATGTGTTGCTTACTTTGTGTGCTTTTCTGCTTGTGTTCATTACAACAAGTAAAGTGAAGAAAGAAAGCAGTCATGAGTTTACAGCATCAAAGTGGATTGTAAAGGCTAGTCATTACCACTGATGAGTTTGAGAAAGAGAGATAGAAGCAAGGAGATCATCTCCTTTTCTAATTTAAGCAAGTTGTAATACCATCTGCAATAAAGTTAAAATGTGATCAAAAGCTTATGAATTGCAAGTGACTTTATAAAAGGATACCACTAAAATTCTGTTCCAGACCATATTTTCCAGTTATGTTGTATGTTAATATCTTGCCATTGCATAAAGAATCAGGTAGAACTCTCACTTAGGAGGTCGAGTGCTATGTTAATTCTTCGTTATCTAGCTTTGGCACATGGAAGTCCCTAGTTTTTGTCTCTGAAGTAGGCTGTATGGTTTACTTTAATAAAAATGTCTGTTATTCTGAGAGTCCCCAAAAGTGTTTTGGTGGAGACCTGGCTTTCTAAAGAAATCTGTGAAGTATTTCATGCATACTTTACTTGCCCAGTGCTGTTTTGCATATGTTGCTCCCCAGTTTTCTTAGGCAGTGTGGTAGGTCTGTAGCTACTGGCATTTTATGGTAGGCCAGATTGCTTTTTTGTTTATTTAGTATTTATAGTATTTATTATACTGATATGTAGCACTATAGCCTTATTTCCAAGTTAGCTTGGGATTTTGAGCACTGATTAGTGATGTGATGTAGCAAGATGAGCCTAACTTTAAAGCTTGTGTCTGGAGATCCCTATAGAGAGCAACAACCCTCTGTTGATCAAAGATTTATGACGCTTATAGTAACCTGATTTGTTCTGAACACATTTCTAAAGAAATGCATTTATTTTGCTTTTTTGTTGGTAATGGTCAGTATGATAAATTTTACAGAACTGAGATACTTTGCGTGGCCAGAGTCTTTGGTACTTAAAAATTCTCATAGAATTCAGCTCTACAGATGACATTCTCAAGGACACAGTTTTCACTGAAAATGTAGATGATGTGTACTCTTGGACTTGATGGTATGACAGCTACATACCTGAATTTTCATCTCTTAAGTATTTTGAAGTCCTGCAGGACTACTTCTTAATACAGCTCTTTTCTTCTACTACTTCTCAAAGCAGTACCTAAGCATAGCTGTACCATTTTATGACACTTAAATATTGCAAGCCAAGTGGATGATTCAAAACTAGAATGCAATGCCTTTTCTTACAGAATAAGCTTCTGATGTTTTCAATCAATTAATACATTTCAATGAAACTTGGATCTAAATGTAGAAGAGAGAAACTTGAGTAGGGATTGCATGGGATTATGGAGCATTAAAGGTGTATCCAGGACTTGGTAGTAGACTTTGGTAACTGAGTGTTCTTGTGTTTCATGGCCCTACCCTTGCAATGGTGCAGTGTAACCAATGTTACATGTCACTAAACCACCAAAGATAAAAAGGAGGCATGAGACAACAGGCGGGAAGGAATAAGCTTGAAGTCTTGATGCAGTGGCTTCCCACCTTTAGTAACACAGTGTGCATCATACCTAACCTTCCTGTTTCAGTTCTTCTGCTTTGATTTTTATGCAGATGTGTGGGCAATATTGCAGCATCTTACTGTCTGCAAATTATTTCCGAGATTCTTACTCCTTTAATACTTTATAAAATGTAAAGAATACAAAAGAAGCTTTTTGTCACATGTGTATCAGTAGTAAGTGTATCCAAGAAAAAAAAAAAAGAAGAAAACAACAAACCACTCCCTTATCTTTGTACTCATCTTGTAAAAGGTCCACTTACAAATATTCTCAAAAATCGTAGGATTGAGAATTTTGGTTTGGCTCTTACCTTGTATTCAGCCTACTGTATTTAACATTGTATAAACTTGAACAAAGCGGTTAGGTTCTGCCTTTAATGTTGTTCCTGTCTAGGTTTTTCTCCTATTTCAAAGTTAACTTTACCCTGATCTCTTCCCCCTAGTTCGTCATGTCGTATAGTTAAAAACACATCAGTTCTATAAAACCAATGAAAAAAAGGTGCTTCTCACAGGAGCTGAATAGAATCATGCTTTTTTTTAATTGTTACTTGAATGAAGTATATATGAGGACGTGGACATTATGTGCAAGCATGGTACGTAATGTACATATGGAACTCAGCTGAATTAGAGAAAAATCTGATTTAAGATATGTATTTGAAATGCAGTATTTGGTGTGCTTATGTTGGAGTTAGGCACATGTCCTTTTGCATGTGCAGGTGTTTTCCCCTTGCACACACTGCAGAAGAAAATAGTGCACATTAATGCAGAGATTCTTGAAAATAATGCTGTTTTAAATTACTTCAGTTTTCCTTCAGCATATGAGGTAGTGTGGTAACTAACGATATGAAAAGAGAGCAAGGAAGGAATAAGGACTGTATTTGTGGGGATATTTTATACAGAAAAACTTCTTTTTAGACAAAATAGCTGTGTAGGTTTTTTTTTTTTTTCAAGGTTTGAAGAAGTCTTAATAAAGTTTCCTTCCAGAACTAAAAGCCCAATGCTGAGTTTGAAACTGAAAGATCAGAGCTGTTTGCCGCAGCAGCTAATATTGGCACTTGCAACTTGGAATTTTTGTGATGATGGTCTTTCTTACTCTACTTGGAAGCCAAATCAAGTTCAATGCAACACCACTTATTCATGTAGGACATATTGTTTTGATTTACTCAATAGAGACTCTTGTGAATATTTAAGCAGTGCTATAGGGCAGTAATCTCTGAACATAAAGATCTTCAGCAGACAATGACTGCAGTCATTATTTGAACAACAGAGTGATTTTTGTGTGTGTGTTATATTGTAATTAACATAAAAGATGAAAGCCTCAGGGTTTTATCTACCTTCTCTCATCTTGAGCATCACAACATAGTCTATAGGGTTTTAATTTCATCTCTGTAGATAGAAAGCACTCTAATGTCTGTTATTTAAATCAAAGGCTTTGCTTTTACCCTGACAAATTGAAAATAAAATACAGAGTTAGTGTGCTTGATATTCTTTGTTTGTGCTCTTTGTCTTGCTATTTGTCTCAGTGTCTTGTTGCCTTGAAAAATAAGGGTGGTAGTGCGAGACCCCAGTTAGTGTATAGTGCAGGCTGCGGTATGTGCTGTAATTCTGGATGCAGTCTTCTCGTTATCTTGATCTGTAGATATAATATAGAATTGTGAGAGTTCAGTGCTGTGTACTCATTAACTAATAACAAATTTGAAATACTTAATTGAGCTGGGATTTTTTTATTTTTACCTATAAAATTATATACATACAATGTTTATTTTTTAAGCTTTATCTTTCTCCTTCAGAGGTGTAAAAATGACAATTCTGCAGAACTTTTCCTTTAGTCCTGTTTCATACTTTGTATAATAAATGAAGTTGTGGTTGTATTGAAGTACCCATGTAGTACAGACAAAACTTTAAGATTCTCTTGAGGTCCTTCAGTTTGTTACTGTCTTGAAGACCATTATGATAAGCAGAGATATTGGGGCTGGGTCCTGAGGTACACCTGGCAAGGCACTGGTTGAGGAATAGTTTTAAGCTAGTATTTCAAGTTTAATTTTTGTTTTTAATTTTTATTTTATTCTGCTGTTAATGTAATTTAGTCCATCTTGTATACAATGCAGAAGTTAATTGTATTATTATAAACAACTCTTGTTCTTGCTGCCATGTTAACACTGAACCCAGAGTGGTAGTTTTGAATGGGGTGTATCTATTAGGAAACATGCTAAATAAAAAAAAAACTGTTATATTGAGCAAGGTAAACTAGGACAGAGGTGCATGTATATTTCAAAATGTTAGTGCTTTATGTTGGCCTGGTGAAAGATTTCTATTAACAATATAATACATATTAATGCATAAATTGGGGGGTGGCAGAAATCAAATTTTAAAATCCATGGGAGAAATTTTTTTCTTGGTGGTACTAAAATGCATTTGAAATTGTAAAGCTTAATTTATAAATTGACTTAATTCCTTCACTAATCTTTTGATAGTTGTGGCCACAGAAGAAGTTGTGACTGCAGAATCTGTGGATGGTGCTATTCAGCAAGTTGTCAGTTCTGGAGGTCAGCAAGTTATTACTATAGTTACAGATGGCATTCAGCTTGGTAATCTGCATTCGATTCCAACCAGTGGAATAGGGCAACCAATCATTGTGACCATGCCAGATGGACAGCAAGGTGAGTGGAAACTTATACTGTTTGAACTAGGGGAACTGTTTTAGTTATGGTAATAATAAGTTGTTACGTGCAAATAGCTTGGACAATTTTGTTTAATTATCAGTTCAAGTACATCTTTGAATTCTTACACTGCAAAAGGTTCAGATGTGAGCTACTGCAGTTCAGTGAGTTACCACGTCAGCTGAGTCTCTGCATGAGGAGAAAGAATGGAAAAATTACTAAACTGTATCGAAGAGAAAAGGGACATTTAAGGGAACGTTCATAACTACTTGCTTTGCAGTCAATAAGTTTGATTCTTGCAAACTTGTTATAAAAACTAGAAAGAGTGAAACAAAAGCGTTCTAGTACTTACACTGTTGCCTTGCTGGAAATAACTGCAGGGAGGTGTGGCTTGGATTTGGAAGTCTGCTGCATGAAGCATGCTGTGCAAGTCCTGTGGAGTGTGTTCTTAACAGAACAAAAGCCAGGTCTTACATGCTGGAGGTTTTAGAGGAGCAGTGGCAGAAGCTAGGGTGACACAAATTGCCCTCTTGGGCCATGTGTACTTTGTGGAAGCTGCTAGGGTAGTAAGTGCTATTTTGCGACATGCATGTGTTTTGGTAGGTTTCTTTTAAAGATGCTCTGCCACTACTGTTTTAAACAAAAATTTTTCCTTCTCTGTTTTTGCATGAAGACTCCCTGTGTGGCGCTTGGAGTTGTACATTGGAGGCAAATTATTTGGTTCACAGTCTGTCTGAACAAGTACAGCTAGTTATCAGAAGGCATGAATGTCTGTAGGTAGTAATTGAAGTGACAGTTACAACATTGATTTGTCAGATGCTTGCATGAGTAAATTAGAGTATTAATTTCTTTAGATCCCTATTTGTTTTCCTTCAAGGTTAATAACTACTAGATTTTCAGATTACCTAAGGTGTTCTAATTAATCAAAATCAAAAGCCAATTTTGTATTTAGTATTTGCTTAAGAAACAGTATAAAGATGGTCTGCTGTGTAAGTTATCGAATTTGACAGACTGGTAACTGCTACAGTTCACTTCCATGTCTGTTTACTCTGTGAAAAACAGTAATGTGCAGAGTGACAACTAACTATTGTAGACCTCAGTAACAAAGAATTTTAAAATTCTTTCATAGCATACAAGCAGCTAAAGTTTTTAGTAAATTTTCCTCATACTGACGTTATAGTCCACTTTATTATATAATTGTGTTTTCATAAGGGAAAGTCTCTGCATTTTATTGCTGTTGATAAAATTACTTGATTATGTGAATTTTATATAGTGCAAATATTGCTTGAAATAAATACATTTATATATGCAAATGTTTTCAGTATTAACAGTTCCAGCAACAGACATTGCTGAAGAAACGGTGATAAGTGAAGAACCGCCAGTGAAGAGACAGTGCATTGAGATTGTTGAAAATCGTGTGGAGTCTGCAGAAATAGAAGTAAGGAGTATATTACGTGATATGTGTTAACCAGAGTGTTCAGGACTGAGTATCTGGCTGTGGTTTTTTGGTGTTCTAGAGTTTAATTTCTGTGTTACCACAGAATGAAGTGTGTGAAACAATAACTTGTTCCATCTCCCCTGTTACTGGAATTCATCTTTTACAAAGTTGTTGTAAAAAGAATATAGGAGGGATTTTTACTTCATCCTCTGGTTGTGCACGTAAAAGTGACACTTGTATAAGTATGTGATAACTTAAATTTTTTGTTTTTCCTTTAAGATCACTAGCTAGTTTTTAAAACTAGGTACCGATACATTATCGAGTAACTTGACTGGTTCTGCTAGCAGTGAATGAGTACTGTACCCTCATCTTTCTGTTATGACCACACGCATGTCCTGATTGTGAGATCATATTTTTAGCAATGTTTCCTTTCCATTCATGATACCTAGATAACTGTTAATGGAAATGTGAATCAGTAAGATTCTGTGTTTTGTCAGTTTTTATCTGTCCTTTTTTTTTTTTCTTTCTTAAATTCTGGAACAGCTTACTGTTACATATCTCTGCACCATCTTTTTTTTTTTTTTTTAATTATATTGCAAAAGACCCAGCAACATTGAGAGAGCTTTTCATTTTATATATGACAAATAGATGTAGCTGTTTAATTTTAAATTGTAGCTTTTTTATACTAGCCATATAGGTCAACCATCTCGTTCCTTCTGTTACTTCTAACTGTGCTGACCAGTTTTGGGCAAAAATTTATGAAAATTGCTGTCTGCCTTGACTAGGCTGTAAGTTCTCATTTTGTCAACTCCATGGTATTTCATTTATCAAAGGTTGTATTCTCCAACTTCTGTTCATATTATTGAATTGTGCCTAACTGAATACTTTTTATTGTACAGTATGTGCTATATGTTATCCATGTTTAATAACAGTACCACCTTTCATCACTTGCTTTCCCTGTCCCTAAGTTGTCACATCGGATATTTTTGACCTTTGCAGCTTTGTGGTCATTACAGATTATCATGACAGTTGAAATTTTCTTGCTGCAATTTTTTAAATGTATGACTGTTACAATAAAAGCATTTCTTTTGTTCACACTTTTAAACATCTGCCTGAATTATTCGTAAAGGAAATTACGTTTCCTTAAGTATTTTAATAATTCTGTTAGGTGAAGGAAAAAAAAATCTAGATCGGTTAAGGAATAAATTGACCTGTTCTGCATTACAGATAGTTGGTATAACAGCACAAATAATTATTTTAAGGGCATTACCAGTTTCAATTATATATATTAACTACATTTCTCAAATATTGAAAGAAGTTGGTTTAAATGAGTTACTTTAACTGTTAATTTTTAAGTGCAAGTTCTGGTGATGGACTTTGTCCCTGTCTGTACAACTGGAAATGCACATGCAGACCTCTGCCTCTGTGAGGAGGCCAGCTGACTTAAGGAACCATGTTGTGGTTCACGGGGCTATGGAGCTACCTCATTTTGGTAACAGGGACATTAAAGTAGTGCACATAAAGTTGGTTCACCTCAAGCTTCATCATCACAGAAGGTGGTAGATACTTGAATTTGGAGCAAGTGGGGACCCCTCCCGTCATTAAAATATTTTTTTTTTAATTTAGGCAACCTTTATTGTTTGGTTTCTTTGCCTCACTGGTGATTCATTCCTTTATTTCATTACGAAAAGTTGATTCAAGGCAAAGCGTGCTTTCTTCAGCTGTTTTAAATTCATAGTGTATGAACAGTTAACTGTAGTTTGTAAGTCTTTAAGTTGAACATCTTCCAATTCATGTGAGGTGACAAACCTTCATGTGGAAGTACTATGAATGACTAAAGCTTTAGTGGTGGTCTCTGATTTTCTCTTTTGGGTCTCTTAAGTTCAAATATTTCAGCTCGTTTTGAAGAGTCATAGCAGTTTTCTTACACAGTTTGATATTTTAAACATATGATGGCAGCAAAAAAAAACCCTGTCACACAGATACTCTGTTTTTCATTTTCATTCATAATTCATTAACATACAGTGCTTTTTATTTTCATTCTTGAATTTGACTGTTTTTCTTATGTTGCATGTTTGAAAGGTGACACGCATTAGAACAAGGACAATCATTTAATTAAACTAAAAAAAGTCATGATTGTAAATGTATTAGTGAATTCATATCCCTGTTTTTTCTGTTGTCAAAAAGAATGCTTGGCTTAGTTACTTCAATTATGGGTGTCCCTATTGTTAATATATAAACTGTTAAGAAAAGTTACATGCAATGAAGAAAATTCCCTGATAAACCGGAAGATTTCTTAAGAGCATTCAGGATCCTCTGATATCATTTTTGCCTGGGTAGGTTTTTAGACTGATACAAAAGGACTTCAGATAATTAGAACACTTCAGTTATGTTCTAAAGAATGCCCTAGGAACACTTTCTGGATTTGTTTAAATTAACAGACCAGATATAGTTCTCCCTGTTCTAGATGTAAAAGTTAAGGAATCAGTTTTCACTGTTCAGTCCGCTGTAGATCTGCATTGCTCTTCGAGAAGCATTGATTTCTTTCCACTGTCTAGTTAGACAGTATACTTGGCCTCAGTTCCTTAACTCATTCAGTTTATGTCAGGACTATGACTGTCTAAAAACTATACCTGTTAGTTGCTGCACTAATCTACATGATTTGAATTGGTAGTCTTTCTGGTAGATAATGGGTTTATCTTCTTGTCTCTGCCTGTGAAACTTATTTTATTTTCCTTTATTTCTATCCCTTCCTTAATATGCTATACTTGTTATGTGTACACAGCTCTATTTCTCTCTTCTGTGGGAAATAATCATAAGATGTGGTCTGAGAACCTCTCCACTCCCAAGTGTTTGCAGTCTGCACACACTCCATAGTAGTGATAGAGCCTTGCTTTTTATAACGCACTGCAGAACCCTGGCCCGTGAGCTACTGGTGGTTCCTATTCTTCTGCAGCCCAGTAGATAGAGCAGCTTTGCTTCTTGCCAGTTAGATCTCTGATATTTTTTATGTGACAAATTCATGAGATAGATAGTGCTTAGCTCAGTATATCCCAGAACTCAGTGCCCTCAGGAGGGAAACGTTGCTTTCCACATGTAGCAGGTCAACTATTTTGGCTGCTTCCCTGAGAATTGTCTTGTAGCTCTTTTTACCAACTCTCTACTCCACAAGGCTGTTTTACATAAGCTGTTGTGTCCCCCTATACTACATAGCTAACTTACAGAAATTGTAGTATGTTTTGGTTGGACTGGTGCTAGAACATCTCTGTATTTCAGATCCTTTGAGATGTAGGCTCTGCTGTTCATTTGGCATTCGTCAGTCTAGTTGTTCTGTGAGTTGGCCATTCATAAAGTTGCTTAAAAAGCAGAATTCAAATTTTCAGAGGTGGAAGTTGAACTTCCTTTTCAAATAAGTAAGCAAGATCAAATGAGCTCTCAACTTAGTAGCTATGCTCCAAATGTAGCAAACCCTAGCTAGCTTCCTTTAGCTCTTCAAGCCCAATGTAAAATCAAGCTGCACTTAATGGAGTTTGTTCTGTTCTGCGTTATAGCTAGTCTTTATAATGTGTTAATAACATCTCCTTCCCCTGTTGTTTTTGCTATACAGATGCTGCTGTTAGCAATGATCTGATCACCTATGTTGTTATATTCCAGCACATTCAGCACAGCATGTGACTGCTAAATGTGACTGTGACAAGTACTGAGAACAGTAGCAAGTAGAAGGGAGGCAGAGTATTTAGTATTTTCAGGCTCTGACCATGAAAATATGTGAGTGCATCAAAGAGGTGAAGAACAGGGATGGTGTTATGGGGGTGTGGGGCAAGAGACTTTTGTTTGAGGTATTAAATGGGAATGTGATACTGAACTGCTGGGATGGGAATAAGGTGAAAAGTCAATTTACTTTTACTGGGCCTCAGTTTTTGTTAAGTTCTGTTTTTCTGGGAGATAGCTTGCTTCTCTGACAACTTCCCTCCTGTGGCTACTTAACAACTACAGTGGAAAGAATGATTTGAAATCAAATACTACCTTACTCATAAAAGTATGATGCACTTTTTAATGAAATGGTATTTGGTTGAAGATCAAAACAAAACTGTTTTCCAAGCAAATTGCTTTTTCAATTGGTCTCAGTACAGCATCAAACTAAATCACAGTACTGACGTCACTGGAGACAGAAATACATTCTCCTTAGTTCCTAAGGCATCTTCATAGGAAGTGGCATTTCCTGTATTACTTTGCTTGGAAACCATTTTATAGCCACCCCCAACAAACTTGTATGGAGGATGCAGTCTTAAGTTACTCCTTTTGAATTGAAAAAGCTTATCTAGCTAAATGTCTGTTAATTCATAAAAATGTGGTGTCCTTGGGGATGTAATTATGCCTTTGGTTTGCATAGTACCAATCACTTCAGATCACTTCATGTAGAAACCAGTTACGTGTATGTTTCGGTTCGTGGGCGGCTGTTGCTTTCCAGTGCAAACTGCTGTGCGGTAACTGTTTTTTCATTATACTGTCTGATTAGAAATACAACAGAAAGGGACAATCCTGTTGGATTGGATTCCAATTTTAAAAAGTAACAAAGGGAATTGACTCATTGGAGAAATGCTAATATAGTATGTTAGTATTTGATCTCCATACTTCCGCTTTTTTATTTCCCTCTTTTTCCATGAAGATTTGCTTGGTATCTTTGCAGCTAAAGAAACTTGGGTTTGCTACATTGACACTTCAAGCTTTATTGTGGGGTCTTGTCTGGTGTGATAGTTCATGGCTAATTTACACAGCAGCATTCATATGGGTTTGCCTGAGTAAGAACAGTTTCTGTGTGATACCCTAACACTTGAGCTGCATGTAAAGGGAAAGTATTTGTCATTTTAACTTGTATTTGATACATATTTGACAAAATATTGCTGGTTCTGTTTCTAATAGGAAAGAGAAACTCTTCAGAAACAGCTGGATGAGGCAAACAGAGAAGCACAAAAATATCGTCAGCAGCTTCTAAAGAAAGAACAAGAAGCAGAGGCCTATCGGCAGAAGTTAGAGGCAATGAACCGCCTCCAGACTAATAAAGAAGCTGTTTAATAAAAAATGAACATACTGCAAAGTCTATTACTTTCAAAAACCTGCAGTACAATCTTGAACTGTACGCTATATAGATACAGACACAGGATTACATGATAGAGAAGATGCTACAAGTTGATAACTGGACTTAAGCCGTGAGCTCAGATGAGTTTCTTGTAACATAAAAACTCTGAATTTAGAAATTGTGAAAAGTATTTAAAATGAAATACTGTAAATAGTTGTTTTTTTTACAGTTTCAAAATGAGTTGATAAATCTTTTTGAAGGGATCCAGAAACATGAGAAGCCAATGTTTTTGTGAAATTTTTGATTTTAGTATGAATCTAACTTCTGAAAAACAGAACAGTTTTAAGGGTGATGTTGTTGATTTAAGCTGACAACTTAAAAATTAATTATGTGACAAAATGAATTAACAGTTATTTCTACATGGTAACAAGTTAAACTTCTCTGAATAAGACATTTCCAGGTGGAAATCTTTGTACAGCTTTAAGTAGTTGTCTCAGATTCTCTGAAAACCATTTTTGTTTTTGTTTTTTTTTTTTTTAATTTTAGGTGGTGAAATTTTTATATTTAATTTCAGATATATCCCAAGTAGATTTACATGTATATGAAGCTAATATTTTTTAAACTTTTCAGTTTGTACATATGCTGCATGTTTTTATAATTTCTACACATACATCTTGCATAGGTATTTTCAGCAAAGATGAGAGAAATTATGAGAAAAATGTTTAGGCTATAGATCATTTGAGGTAAGCTCACAGCTGGTTTTATTGTGGATGGTATATTACTTGGAAGAATGTAATTTGTAATTGAACAAAAAAAAAAATCTTAATTTACACACTAGAGGCAATTTAAAATTTGGTGGTGGAGGCATGGAAACTTCACTTTGTGTGTCTTAAAATTTTTGTGTATAAACATTTTAAAGTTCAGTAATGAATAGAAAAGAATGTCTCCACTGGAACACAAATAGTAGTTCTTTTAGAATATTCCTATTGATCTATTTACCCCAATAACCTTGAAATTATTTCAGTGATACATTTTTTCTAAGTGGACTTTTGCATTTTAATTATGCAATTGGACAAGTAATTTTTTTTATGTTGTAGTGATGCTCTTACCTAGCATCATTGTTCTTCACTGTGATACTGTGTTTGTGTGTGTCTGTGCAGTGATCTATTATGCTTAGGATTTATATAGCACGTTTCATCTTCAGAGCATTGTAAAATTTTTTAAAGAACGCTTACTGTACTGCCTGAGGCAGGTAAGTGAGTGTTATTGTCTCAATTTTATAACTGGTATAAGTGCAACACAGGGAGTATTAAATGACTGGCCCAAGACCACATGAATCTGTGGTAGACCTGGGAATAGATCTCAGGAGATCATGGCTTCTAGTCCTGTGCTTAGACTGAGCTGCCTTAAGATTGTTCAGTGCTGTGTTACATTAAATTTTGAACTACTGTGCAGATTCCTTTTCTGTAAGATAAAACTTCGTGCTTTGCTTTGTTGTTCCATGTTTCACTGCTTTTATGGAATTGTTTATATAAACTTAAGCAAAAAGTCTAGTTTACCTATACTGTACACAGAAGAATTACCCTTAAAACTGTACTCTGGCCTACTTTTTCTATTTTACAATTAAATATCTTTTCCACATACATATAGTGTAGAATCAATTCCATTTCAGTGGTTTTGTATGCGCATTAGAAGGTCAAAGCTGTGCTGTGTTGGGCATTCAGAGAAACATGAAAAAACAGTTTTAGCCTTAGAGCGGCCTTCAAAGGTAGGAGGAAGGAGTGGGGAAAGAATTGCATTACATAATACAATGTAAAATCTTTCTCCTTCAAACTTTGAATTTATAGAATTGGCAGTTAGGAAGAAATGCTAAATATGCTAGTATTGGTATAAAATTGGCAAATTTGATCCCAGTTGGCAAATTTGACCCCAAAATAATCAGAAGATAATAAAAATTGGAAAATCTGTGGTGGTGGTTTTTAGAAGAATAATTTTCAAGGATATAATCATTCCTAGCTGGCACTGGGACTTGAAGCAAGCCTTGTGCAGTGACTAACTGGAAATTGCTGTATTTTAGGGTTTTTTTCCGAAACTATCCATGATGTCACTAGTGAATATAGGAACCAGTGAGTCAAGTTAAATGTGTTGGCTAGGCATTGCTCCAACTGAATTATCCTGTGATCAAAATAATGTTTGTGTCCTCACATCCCACACACTTAACTACAGTTTAATCTCTGTGAACTCTTAATATTATGATAAGAATTTCAGCGTTAGTCTGAGTAGCGATAGTGGTAATGTTCACGTCCAAATGGAGAATTTCCCACGGCTTTGACGGCACAGACCTTTGTAGCAAACAGTGAAAAGAACCTTTTCTATCCATTCTGCTTCCTGTGAGCAAATATTCTATTCCTCATTGTCTGTAAAAAAAAATCATTCCAAGTGCAGGGTAGCTATAACAAAAATTTATCACCAGCAATATTTACCCTACCTGTAATTCATTATCACCTATTTTATTCTAGTTCTCAACAGGACCCGCTGTTCGTTCTCTTTTGCACAGAACGAAAAACCAACCTGATGAAACTACCACCTGTGAGCAAGGGTGTAGGGTAGATGTCACATGGAATATTTATTGTGTCGTTTAGCTCTGAAAGCACTGCTAAACATATTGCTTCTTATTTGCTGTTCCAAATTGAAATCATATATGTAATTAGCTACCAGATTTCTTTGAACAGATGTCCATATATTGAAGTAATACATTAGTTGCTTGTAATGAGCTAGAATCACAGTTTTTGAGAACTCTGAGCTCTTTCCGAGTTGTCCTGCTCTTGATGCCAGTCCCTGCTCACCTTCTTTGTTTGCCTTTATGGTAGCACTTACAGTGAAGCCAAGAGAAGTTCACGAATTGATATTAAGTGTGTGGGCATCTTGTTATTTTTTTTTCCTAATGTTTCCAGAGAAATGTGAGATAAAGCAGATGAATATGCATATGGTATGTTTTTTTCTGCACTTCTTGCACTTCTTTCAATGCCTTTTTTATCATTTTCAAAAATTTCAGCATATTAATCTGATGTGCGTGTATCAGAGCATCTTTGTCATATCTATGAAACAGTTCTTTCTCAAATATCTAATCGCAGCAGAAACTAGGAAAGGTTTTCATGCTGTTCTATAGAAAGAAGTAACAACTTTCTAGAATAATGAAAGCATTTAAGCTGCATTATAGTATATGAGGCAGAAAATCAAAGCTGCTCTGACAGAGTTCTCTTCTGTACCATGAGACCAGAGAAACTGCTGTCATAGATCGGATGAAGGGTCAGCCTAGCCTGGTATCCTGTCTCCCAACAGGGCCAGCCTTAAGACACACCCTAGGGTATAGGAAAAATAGGGCAAGCATATATTGTACTATGTAATAATTTCTCTTTCTGATGCTTAGTCCATATGTCCTACCTCTCTCTTTTCCCAGGACTGCCTGGTGTCAGTGTAGGGCAAGTGAGTTCCTTCTGGTGAAGATAAGCGCTCAACGTGGAGTACAGTGTCAAAGGTCGTGCTGCCAAAGATAGGTCAGGATGTGTTTTCATGTCCAAAAACTGGAATAAGGAGGAATCTACATGTCTGTTCTTCCAAACTGATAATAATCCACATGGAGGACTTGGAGGAATTCTGGAGATACCAGACCAAATCCCAGTGCTTATGTGTATCTTACATGAGAAAAGCAAGCCACAGTGGGGGGCAAAAGATGTATTTTCCCAGCTCAGCAATCTAGGGTGCCATCAGTGGAGGAAGATTCATCCTGCAATGTAACCTGGTTTCATTTTGAAGGTCAGGAAATCCACAAACAGGTTCATTGCTGCTTTGTATCGCAGTTCTGGAATTGGCAATAATGGTAGTGTCTTTCCTTCTAGCAGCATAGGGACTGAAGACTTGCGGGGATGTAAATATACTATCTTCTTGGGAAAACACAGTCCTGCAATTTAAAAAACAAAAACAAATTAAAAAAAAAAAGTCCCCTCTTGCAGTGTCAAATTTGTTACGTGCTGGTGCCTTGTTTAATGACTGCTGCTAGCACAGTAGTTCAGTGTGCTAGAGTAACATGGCTGGTTTTATTTGTTTTTGGAAGCTCTTGAGCTTTTTCTCTCCAAGTCTGATGTTAATGTGTCTTACATTCATGACATGGATTACTGTGAGACTTCTGAAAGATTGTTTGAAAATGCGAAAAGCTTAGCACAGAGGCAGCTCCTCTTAGAGATATGCTCTATCTTACACATCAAAAGAGCACAGATGAGAACATAGGAGAGACTGTACAAGCCCTCAGCTGGGAGGAGTTATAGAAACACTTGCCAATAACCTGACTACGTTAAACCTTTTCCAGAATGCGTGAGTCTGAGAGAGAAAGGGAGCTATAAAGGGGGAAGCAGCTAGCAGGGCACCAGACCAACCTGCCTACAGCTCCTGAAAGGTCGTGGCCCAGGTGTGAAGAGGTGCTTTTAGAAGGAATCAGTATGGAGCCTGAAGAGTACAGACAGAGAGGTGAGTGATCCTCTGCTCTTGGAAATAGGTGGCATTTGCCCACGGAGATTAACTGTTGTAGGGCTGGGAATGGTACCCAAAATTAGGATGGGCTATATACTCTTTATTTGCACACGTGTCCTTGAGACTTAAATCTGCTGAGGCTGAGACAAAAAAAGTGTCCCAGGGTTGAGTTTAAATTAATGGATTTGGCGTCAGTGGATGATTTAGGCTTTTTTGTCTTACATTTAAAATACTATAGGAAAGCTGCAAAACTGTGATTCTGAATAAACTTGTGCTAAGGGGCTATGCACTGGCTCTGCCCTGGCTGACACCATGAAACTTCAGTGATACTGGCATTGTTGTGGAGGTGGGGAGCAAACTTTGGTTCTGTGGCTGGAGGAGGTTGCCTGAAAAGTGGAGAAAAGGTGTGAACTTGTGCAGCTGTTTTCAGAGGATGCAAAAGGGGATATGCTGTAGCAATAGGGAAGCATGGGACATTATGAAAATTACATTTCTAAGAAATGCAGTTTCAGTTAATTTGTAGGCAAGACCTGTCTGTCTTCTCAGTAACCAAACAGACTGTACTTGTACCGTGGTTGAACTGTAAAGGTATATTTGAGCTATTCAGTGACAACACTGCAATAACCCTGTGAATTGTTCTGTCCCCATGAAGCCTGTTCTAGAAGCTGTGTCCGTACATTATTAGATGGGACGAGCAGGGTGTAGGAGTTCCTGTGGCTATCCTGGGAGCAGTGTTCCAAGCTCTGTCCAATGCTAATGGCATATTGCGTTTTCCCTCAATCAAAACTCAAAGCACTGGTTTGCCTCTTCCAGGGAAAGAGATGGTGGATTACATTTACCAGTACCTGAGCAATGTGAGAGAGAGACGCGTGACTCCTGATGTACAGCCAGGTTACATGAGAGCCCAGTTGCCGGATTCTGCCCCAATGGACCCAGACAGCTGGGACAACATCTTTGGAGATATAGAGAAGATTATTATGCCTGGGGTAAGAAATAAAGTATAATCGCGACAGGAAGAAGTCGTTACTACCTGGGGTGAACACCAGATTCTGGGAATGCAGAGGTTCTGCAGAACATTGATCTAAACAAGTAAAGTACCCAAAATGTAGAATAAGTCAGTCTTGTAGACATTATGTCCCCAGAAGGATTCTGGAGGTTACTTTTGTATTCCTAACTACAATTTTAGGAGATAGACTGAATGTATTTTGAAATTACTTTATACATTAAGAATAACTCATGTTTGCTCAGAGGGAAACAATGATTTTTCTGACACTGGTGAATTTAGCTTCACAAGGCCTCTACCTGCTGAAATGCATCATCTCAATTTCAGAGATGTGGAAACTCAGGTGCAGCAAGGTGAAACATCTCTTGCCCAGGGTCATGTATATATAAGACTCGTCTCCTGCTATTTGAATGTAAAGATCTCCTTCCTCTCATACGTAATTACTGGAGGTTCTGCTAAAGGAGTTCACATTATGTAATTAAAATTTATGTAAGAAGCTGTTTCAAAGCCTATTCTAAAATTTTTGTTACAGATGTTTGCAGAAACTTGGTCTGGTATAGGAGAGGTATTCACATTAAATATGCTTATGCTGGTGTCCCACATAGAGGCTCCTTCAGGTGTATAGAGAGGAGCTATATAATTGTAAACTGTGTGTAGCTAAAGGCAAGCTGTTTGACAAAATAAACAAGAGCAACTTTGTTGCAAAGATTCCCCTTATAAAGATAAATATTGTGATAAGTATTTCTGACTGTGTTGTGCAATGTTTAAAAGACCATTCTTTCCTGTTCAGAATCTTTGTCTGCCTGTTTAATTCAGATAAATGCTTTTGCTGTAATTTGGAATTTATCTAATAACGACACAGTGTTATCATTTGCTAGTGCTGCACTCCTGTTGATATTATCTCTGTAGCTTTCTGCTAGCAGATCTGTAATTGCACATATTATGTTGCTGTGGATCCTTTTCCATCACTTTAGACAGATGCTAATCACTACATCTCTTGCAGAATTTTGTGACGTTTTCAGACTTAACTTCTAGATAATTTTGTTCTAGGTAGTCCATTGGCAAAGTCCACACATGCATGCCTACTTTCCAGCTCTTACTTCCTGGCCTTCGCTCCTTGGAGATATGTTGGCTGATGCAATTAACTGCTTGGGATTCACATGGGTAATTTATTTTTTGGTTGTTGTTACTTTAGGTATTTAGCGTTCTGAAGACAATGTTTTCCCCAGTGTTGAAGCCCAGATTTTTAAATGCATGTCTCCATATAAGAAAGCTTCTAAACCTGTAAGAAATTGGTGGTTATAGTCTCCATGTAGTTGTATTAGATTAGCTCATTGCATACACAAAAACATCCATTCCCGTGTCCTCAATCTAGTTTTGATAGATTTCTGTTCGTTTTGCAATGTAAACCAATTATTTTGTAAGTGGAAAGCTGAATGCTGCAGAGCAGCTTTCATCTTTCTTTTGCTGCTCTTCAAAATGTGTCCCTTAACTCTCAGTTGGAAGACAGATCAGTGCCCTTTCTCTTTAGGGACCAAGAACATGTACTTGTGTGGTGCATTGCAGTTCCATGGTTTTGTCTCAAATGTCTCACTTGTTTGCTTTTTTTTTGTTTGTTTTGTTTTTAAATTTTTTTTTAATGAATAAAATTACTGAGAGATTAGAAGGTCCACACTGAGGTGATGCAGGTAATCTGGAGAGAGCATTTGCAGGCAGCTTGTGAGAGTCTCTGTATTTGGTGTTCCAAGAGAGCAACTGGCGATGAGCAAGATACCTGAAACTCACCCTCAAATGCAAACTTGTCATAATAGAGGTGTGGATTACAGAAGTCACCAAACAACATATTTTTTGTTACAATACCATTTTGTTCTGCTAGGTATGGGCCATAGTATTGCACAGTTAGCTGCTTATATATCCAATGCTATAAAGCTCATCATCTGCCTTTGTTGCATCTAGGTGAGATTTCTCCCAAGGCAATTAAACAGTATTAATAGCTATTAATTAAAATGTGATATGTGGTTTACTATAAGTGTTATGCTCCTACTGTGTTTGCAGTGAATTACAGACTGATTCTCTTTTTAATTATTTTTTTTCTAGGCCTCCAGTCCAGCCTGTACAGAACTGGAAATGAACGTTATGGATTGGCTGGCTAAAATGCTGGGCCTTCCAGATAAATTCCTGCACCACCATCCCGGCAGTGTGGGCGGAGGAGTATTACAGGTAGGGTAAATCAGAGGTGGCCTCATCAACATTTTGTTTTCACTCAAGTGAATTTCCCTCTGGGTGATAGTTTTCCTGGAGACAAAACCAAGATTTGCTCTATGGCTCTGAATAAAGACAAATACCAATTAGACATTACTTTCCCAAATTTTATTATTAAATATAAAAGGTTATAGAATAGGAATCGCTATTGGTTTTAGTCCTAATTGTATTATGGACGAGGAGCAGGTACTCTTGCGACCTTACTAAGGATAAATGAGAGTCAGATTTGGTTCCTTCAATCTGTTTTATATCACCAGATTATTCACTGAAGTGATCCTTTAGCGAATAAGAAGGATTCCCTATCACTGTCCTTTTGCCACTGGTCCTTAGCTGCACAAGAAACTGTTTTTCCTTTTTCTCATGTCTGCTTTGTGTCTCTTGAGAGTTGCAGGATCAAGGCCTGAACCTTTCAAAAGGCCTAAGCAAGTATCCCTCAGAATCAGTGCTGAGGCTCTGTGTTGTTATAAGGAGCTTTGCTCAGGTTTGTAATTTCTATGGGAGATATTTCATTTTAGCTGTAGAAGAGCAAAAGGAAAATGCGATTTATTTACTCCCCCCAACTTGGTCCTGGACATTAAAAATATACAGCAGTTAAAAGGCTTTGTTTTGTGTTGCTGGCCAAGAGAGCTGCTTATCAGCTAATGACTTTCCACTACATCCCAACAAAATGGTACTAGAAATAAAAGGGAGTGGTCAGCTGAGCACTTCAATGACTTCAGTAAAACCCTGATAAAGTAGCAGTTTGTTGCAGTAAATGAGCAATGTCTTTGCAGAGCACTGTGAGTGAATCAACCTTGGTTGCACTGCTAGCAGCAAGGAAAAACAAAATTCTGGAGATGAAGCTTTCTGAGCCAGACACTGATGAGTCCTCACTCAATTCTCGCCTCATCGCTTATGCATCAGATCAAGTAGGTTCTTATGGTTACAAAGAAAACAAATTTGCTTCTGCTGTCTCACCCAGACCATACAATGTGAACTTGCATTTCTGTATCAAGAGAAAAACAAACATGAATGCCTCACAAGCATGAACGGATCCTTCTAATGTTGCTTTCTGCAGATGGGGAAGCGAAATCTGTGAGAGATGAGGTTTTGTAGAGTGCTGGCAGTCCTCAAGAGAGTGTCTCACATGACTAATTTCTGCACTTCCTTCCTGTTTTTCACAAAGCCTTACTCCAGTAACTAGGTGCTGATCTCATGCTGCTTCAGCTCTTGTTTCTTCACAGCTTCCTTCCACTTGGAGGCAGGCATGCTCGGGGCATTACCTCAGAGCTGCTTCTGGTTGTGGTCTTCACTCTAGGTCTCTGTGCTTATTCTGGGAGAAGACATCTACACAGTACTGTGCCTCTGCCTGAAAACCTGTTCTGTGCTTGGACTCCTGAACTGAACAATCTTATTCCGCTGTGAAAAATGCAACAAGAGAGACTGGTTCTCTCTTAGTATAAAAGGGCTTTTTCATGTGAGGGGTTTTGGCTGACCCACAAGCAGGCATACTTCAGGGGTTTTTACCTTCTTGTAGCAGGGAGAAGGGAATAAACTGAGGTTGATCCATTTCTAGAGGCTCCTTTAAGATCTGAGTTTTGATAAATGTCCCTCCAAACATCAGGTGAGGATGCCTATTATTACATTTTAGAGACCAGTACCCAAATAAATGGAGCATATGTATTCCTTTGAATTACAGTATATTATTTATTTCAATTACTCAGAAAGAAGAAACTTTCAGACTTGTATTAATATGGATTATAATAAGGACCTTATCTCTGCTTTACTTGCAACCACTTTCTTTTATAAGGCCATGACTTGTCACAGCTGTTCAGCCTCAGAGCTTGCTTTCTTACTGTATTTTTCTTTGTTTAAAGGCACATTCTTCTGTAGAAAAGGCTGGCTTGATTTCTCTTGTGAAAATGAAACTTCTGCCTGTGGATGAGAACTTTTCCCTCAGAGGTGAAACTTTGAAGAAAGCTGTTGCAGAAGACAGAAAGAAAGGCCTAGTACCACTCTTTGTACGTTCAGCTTTCTGGTTGGGGGTGTTGACACAATGTTAAAGCCAACATAAAATTACATCTGAAACATTTCTTATGGTGCTAAAATACATTAGCTGAAGGTTAAAACATTACAAGAATTTCTATTTTATTGAGCAAAAATGTTAATATCATTTTGACTATCTATGATAGCCTCTCCACTTTTAAAGTGCTGCATCCATTTATTAAAAAAATGCCATCTTTAACAGGTTTATTTTCTTCTAGGTTTGTGCAACTTTGGGTACAACTGGTGTCTGTGCTTTTGACAATCTCTCAGAACTGGGTCCAATCTGTAAGTATCTTTTTTGCTTGATTTTAAACCATGATAGCACAGAAATGTAGGATGAAAATTTTTCATACCAAAACCAAGGAGAGTAGAAACACTAATCAGCTGAGTTTTTCAGATGTGTCTCAAAGATTGGTGGAGTCAGTGCAAGACTTTGCAGTGATTTCTGTAAGATTTAGATGAGGATGCTAAAATACATTCTGTTCAAGATGGGTTAAATTTACCAACTGATAAATCTTTAATGTGGTTATTCAGGGAATACTGACTGTATGCTATAGAGTACAGTACTCTTGTAGGATGGATATGTAAATACTTGACCTAGCAAAGGAGTTTTGAAGGTAGTGTTTGGTAGGACATCCTTTGAGGCCACCAGTTCAATAGGTAAATTTGACAGGGTTGCAAATTCTATTCCATCATAAATTCCGATGAGTAGCTGCTGAAGACCTGTGGCACTTTCTCTTACGGGTCAGAGTGTGGCTTCTATCTCTGGGTCCTTTTTGCTTGCCACTGTGTCTTTATTCTGGCTTTGTGTAACTGAGTTGTATCAGGGAATTTCACATAGTAAAAAGGCAGGTGAGAGAAATCAAACATTAAAAAGCCTCACTCGTATGAAATACAGAATAGTGAATTTTGAATCCATCTGTTTTCAGCATTATCCTGTATTTTGGGGTTCTGGACCCACAGCTTTACAATAAAACTAGATCATCAATTGTTTATCTTGCTGTTTTGTTGTCAGCCTGTCCACCTCCTGCAAAAAAACATGCACCTGGTTTTCAGAGAGGAGCGATTAAACATGTACCGTGATTCCTTATGGCCTTAAATAACAATTTCAATTCCAACAGGTGATGCTGAGGGACTCTGGCTTCATATTGATGCTGCATATGCAGGAACAGCATTTATATGTCCTGAATTTCGTTTGTTCTTGGATGGAATTGAATATGCGGATTCCTTTACTTTTAACCCTTCTAAATGGATGATGGTTCATTTTGACTGCACTGGATTTTGGTGAGTAAAGGCAAAAAACAGCACCAAAAGGGTGACATGCAAATTGCAAAGTCTTTGCACAATTTTTTGCTAAATACAGTTCATTCTATAATTGATAGGGTTAAGGATAAATACAAGTTACATCAAACCTTCAGTGTTAACCCGGTCTACCTCAGACATCCCAACTCAGGAGCTGCTGTTGATTTCATGGTAAGTTATTTGAGTTGATATTTTAAATTGCATATAAAATGTTCAAACAGACTGTGAAAATCCTCACACGCTGGAGCATGCTTATCTTATAGCTGGTCTTATTTCATAAAAGCATAAAACCAATTATAATGAGATCCTAATGCAGATTAAATAATAAAACTTTGAAGTGAGCCTTGGTTATGAAAATTAATTATAAAATTGCTTTCAGAGGTAAAGATTGAAGTACTTAAGATTTTTACACAGATGGGGATCCAGCCTTGCCTTTTTACTTAGAGGGATAATTTCTGTACATTGTGTTGCTGAAGTAATTCCTACTGATGGTTTTTGGCTGTTTTTCTTGTATCTCTGATATGTCATAAAAGAGAGGAAGGAATAAGCAATGGAAACACCATGCTTTGAAACAGCAGTAGAGTGAATTACATTTTTCTTCAGATTAAGTCATTCACATGAGAGCTAAGAGGCATTTCACTTTAGATCCGTTTCACAGCAGATTTCAGTACAGTAAAACAAAAGAATATTCACTGCCAATTGTTTCTGCTATGATCTCACCCTAGTCCTAAAAAGATAATTGTTTTCTTGAAATCAATAGTGCTTTTCACTAGAGAGTGAGAATGTAGAGCAGAGTGGAAAAAAATATATCAGTGAGTCCCTCTTGTGGTTAAATAGGACCCTGCATGTAACTGTGTGGCTTCCTAGTATTTCGTTACGTATTTGGTCACTCTTGCAGTAGGTGTTACTTCCTCTGACAGAGGCATCTACCACTCTATCAACTCTTGCTGTTTATAGTCGATTTAGGAAAACGTTCAGGATGGCATTTAAATATACAAAATACAGGAACTGAAGTGAGCGCCCAGTCCTAAAGTGTAAATGGACACAAATTGATAATGCTCTTTAAGTGCAAAAAGGTGGTGTTATTAGCTGGTAATTAACTAAAGAGTCTAAGCATGTCTAGTCCACGGATTAAGGGGAATAGCCCAAATTTATTTTTGCAAATAATTGAAAAATATGTAGACATAGCACTTCTTTGATGGGTATTTCCTAGCTTTAGCACATTTTCAGTAATATGAAATTATTTGTGTCAACAGAGATTTCTGACCCAAGTCTGAAGCAACAGAAGTAGCAGTGTAAGGGGACGCTCCTTTCTGTTGGTTTTGCACTCATTGACACACTGTTGTGTTTCCACAGCACTGGCAAATTCCACTGAGTCGCCGATTTCGTTCTTTGAAGCTGTGGTTTGTGATTCGTTCATTTGGGGTGAAAAAGCTTCAAGCTCATGTCCGACATGTATGTGAATTAACAACGCAAACATAAATGTATTATTTATTGGTAGCTGAGTTTAATGAATTCAGTGATACAAAGATGAGTAACAGAGAGCTTATCTGTGAACACTAAACGTGCTGATTTTTCTCTTAAATAATCTGTAAAGATTGACTATGTAGACAAACCATTTCCTGTACACTTCTTGGAAGCAATAGGCAATGGAAAGTGACTGGATAAGTCATTGCCTTCTGCACATTAGTGAGTACTAATCTGTAGAAGCTTTCTTTGGGGCAAGGAGGCAGCTGTTTGGGAGGCAGGCGGTGATGGACGGGTGAACCCATTGCTGTGAAAATTTGCAGGCTTAAGTCTTTGTTGGAGTGTAAATACAAGGGATCACATTGTGGATCAATGGTTGCTGCAAAAGGACTAATCTGAGAAGGCACGTTCTGTTTTCAAACCTTCTAGAAAGTTCCTGTGTATAGTCCAGTTACTCTTGATCATTGTCAGGTGTTTGGGCAAACAGAGACAGACTTTAAAATTCTTAGCTTTGTTGTCATTCTACTGTTTGCTATTATTTATGCATTGGAATGATGTGTTTTAGTAAGGAAAGGAATTACTTTTAACTACTTAATTTAGTGTCTTACAGTGGGTTTGTAACAAACCAATACATACCTATTTTTTTTCCTTAATTATAGGGTACTGAAACAGCCAAATTCTTTGAATCCTTGGTTAAAAGTGATCCACTCTTTGAAATCCCTGCCAAGAGGCATCTTGGACTGGTTGTATTTCGTTTAAAGGTAAAGATTTGGCCTTTTGCATGTCTCTGGAATGAATTGACCACAGCTGATCTCTTCCCAGACATTAAGAATGGTGAATAAACCTTTGTGTAAGAATTTGCAATGCTGGAAGACTTACAGAGATGTTTGAATGGCACTGGAAGTTCTAACTGTGTTATTTTTCTAACTATATTATTCTAACTGTAGTGCTGTTTTTCTTTTTTTTTCAAACTATATTTGAAACAGGGTCCCAACTGGCTGACAGAAAAACTCCTGAAAGAACTAAGCAGTTCTGGCAGGCTCTTCCTTATTCCAGCAACCATTTATGACAAGTTCATCATTCGCTTTACTGTAACATCTCAGTTCACGACCAGGGAAGATATTCTGCGAGACTGGAACATCATTCAACACACTGCAGCCCAAATCGTTAGCCAGAATTATGGGTTGCACTGCATCAATTCTGGTGCTGGGGCAACAATCCCTAATATGATAGTTAAGTCTAGTTCTGATGCCATTAGCAATGCTTCTCAGCTTTATCTAGATGGGGGAAAATACAAAACACCTTCTAGAAAAATAGTAGTTCAGCCTAAGAAGTTAGAAGCGAGTCCCAGTACGTGCGTGATTAGTCAACAAGTGAAAGTTCAAGGGGATCCTCTAGATGACTGTTTTCCAGAAGATGTCCAGGACGTTACCAAACATAAGTTAACCTCCTTTCTATTCAGTTATCTATCTGTTCAAGGCAAGAAAAAGACGGCACGTTCCCTCAGCTGCAACAGCGTGCCAATGACTGGTATTCTTGAGCAATGTAACCCCAAACCAGCAGCCGCTGACAAGAAGGAGTCTCGTGCAAATGCCAGAATTCTTTCCAGGCTGCCTGAAGAGGTGATGATGTTCAAAAAAAGTGCCTTCAAAAAACTAATTAAGTTCTACAGTGTCCCAAGCTTTCCAGAGTGTAGCATTCAGTGTGGCCTTCAGCTCCCTTGTTGTCCTCTGCAAGCCATTGTTTAACAAGTAAAAGAGATTGGTGCTTAAGAGCTTTCCAGGTAGAAAGAGAACCAAAGTTTGCTTATTCATATGCAATACTAAAATGTTACTTTGTTCAATATGTGAGCGGTGGCAATGACCGCTGAGAAAATTCCTGTGCTTTTATTGGTGGAAACCTTGTGTATTTATAGATTAAAATGTCAAATAAATCTTGTAGGCATATAACATGAAACTCTGGTTTGTAGACTGTGGTAAAGGAAATGCCATTTCTGCCTTATCAGTCCTGCTAATGGGCAGTTTCCAGCTGGTAGGCTAGAACCATTTTGCCCAAATGTGCTGGCCTCAGTAGGTGGTAAACAATTTAGCTTTCTATTTGCACCACTGACTTTTTTTTTTTTTTTTTTTTATACCTTGACTTAAACTCCCTAGACTGCTGAGGATCTGTGTGCACAGACGATGCCAACATCAATTCCGAACTGTGCAAAAAGAAGGGTGCAACCTCTGTAAGAGATACTGCTGTATTGCCCAAGTTTAAAAACACAGCAGCCCTCCCATTCCATCTGTGCTACTCAGTTAAGGTGCACAGGAGGCTTTATGCAACCATGTTTCAAGAGCCAAGCACCTGTGACCTTTCTCATCATTACCTAAGGTCTGTAAATCACAAGTGCATGAGGAAAGAGAGTAAGAATGATATTTCACTCTTTCTCATAACAGAAAAACTAAGGGGCATAAGAGAAGAAAGGGTCTCTATGCAGCAACCAAATTTACTGCTGCAAGAGGCCATTAATGTTTTTTCAATAATAATTAAAAAAAAAACGAGGAGAGAAAAATATATTGAGGGCTGCTTTAAATTTGGAGCTATTACTGTTGAGTCAGGAAGCATGATTGCTGGGAGATTATTGTGGGAAAGCACTGCTAGATGCTTGCTGCCTTCTTTACAGGTGTTTCCAGATACCTACAATCACCCCATCCTGAAGGCAGCATATTCTCAAGTTACATAAAAATGAGTCTGGTTAATTAGAACAATTTCCATACCTTTATACAATATCAGCTAAACTCAGGTGGGGTATGTTGAGGTATGTGTTACAAGAAGCAATAACATTTGGCCTGTTAACCCCTTATAGTAAGAGGAGCTGTATTTTTTTTCCATTCTTAATATTATTTCCCATCTTTAAATCCTAGGGAAACCTAAGCCACACTTTATGAAGTATCTGGCCTGCTATCACTCTATTTGCACCCAAAAGAAAATACCTCTTAGTTCTTATAAATTGTTCTCATTCTGTGTATGTATTTGGTGCATGACAAATGAGAGGGCATCTCTGCTGCAAATGATAAAAGTTAATGCAGGCATCTAATACAGACATTTTTATTAGTTTGAGACAACTGTAAGTTTCATTAATGTTCTTTTTAAATGAGTTTTGTGTTTCAACTTAGGGATGTAATTTTCACTAATGTAATGGATCACTTTAATATGAATATAAATATTTGCATGAAAATGTCTTACACTGTATCTACTTTCACATGCTTGGGTGCACTGCATTAACATTCACAGCATTAACAATACATCCGTACACAGTAGGAAGGTAGGTAAGATCCAAAGTACGAAGAAGAGAAGCCAGGCTAAGATATAAGTAGAAAGTTCTGCTTTATTAAAACAATCTCACGTTCACACTTTACTTCAGATACTGATATTTGCTAATATTAATAAAGATGATTTCCTGGCAAGGTTAGAATAACAGATGCTTTAAAAACTGAATATTATAGAAGACAGATTTTTGGATATGTTTACAATTTGAAATAATGTTTTTTTACTGAGTTATAAATGTCCTGTGCCATTTAGACATACAAGTTTTCTTTGTCATCCTGGAAATTGAGGCAATCTTTGATTGCTGGATTGAAACCCTCCTCCACTAGTTGTACTTTATGGTACTTAAAAGTTGCTGTAAGTTCAATGGGGCTCTACAAAACAAAATTACATCTCTACTTATCAATGTCAGCATATAATTGTGGGAATTAGATTAGGCTTCCTAAATTTAAAGGGAATCATTTAAAGAAAATTGATACAGCACAGAAGTTGAAGACTTATTAATAGAGGTCTAAACTATCTGCATTCATCAGATAACAACTGGACTGCGGAATATGTGAGCCATTAGTTACTCTGAATGTAAGAAGTGCTGGGGCCACAGAAACATTATTGAAAAGCTTACCTTACCATTCTATTTAAATAAGGCAGGAAAACACTAGTTTTCAGCTTTTAGTTGGAAATAATCAAGGGTTTTATTCCAAAAATGATTTCATTTTGTTCTCAGATCAAAAAACAGCAGAATTTTTGTCAGAGCAGCAGAGAAAATGGCAGGTGGAGACTGGACAAAACTCACTGTACTTTACATGGGATGGCAAGACAAACCACTGCCTTGACTCATCTACTATTTTGTTTGTATAACTCAAAATTTTAAAGATTGATTAAATCATTAAGCATGGTAGCATCTGTGTTAGTCCTTTTAAGTCATCTCAATGAATATGCAACTTTTCTCAAAGAAGCAATATTTATTTTAAATAAATAACTTGAGAAATACAGTGAGAGTGACATTCTTGCAACATTTTCCTAATTCAAGTTAAACTTCAGTTTAGAATTTGGCTATGTATTCACTGGTAGGATAAAAATCTAAGGCCTCTCTTGCAAGACAGTTCTCTTGCAAGCTTTAGTTTGTGTGTGTATCTTTATTTTGCACAGAAGAGTCTATAGAGAGAGAACACAGCTGTGTTACTATGCTGAAGGAATCCAACAGGAAATGTATTTTCTACTAAGAGATCTTCCTAATTTTAGATGTTAAAATGTGCCTGGTATGCTGTAGCTGCTCATGCAACCTTTTTTTTTTCAGGCTGAAGTGAAACATCTGGGGACAGTTCTATTTTCATATTGGTAAACGAGCAAGTGAGAGACAAAAGAAGCCTTTTTGGGAATTGCTAGTATAACTATGAAGTCCATAGTCATCATAGAAAAGAGAGAAAACACAGTGCAGATGGACACACAAAAGCTACTTAGGAACGATGGTTTACTTTAATCCTTATAAAATGAGGTCTTGCGTAGTTTGGAAGGTGAGTGTTAACATGTCTGCAAGTACTTTCTCCATTGAATTCAGTTTTCCTTCAGTCGAACACATGCCATTCCTGTGCTGCCTTCATAACCTGAAGGAATAATGACAACAAATAACTACAGTTCATATATAAATTTGAACTTAAGGCTTTTTTCTTTCTCCTATAAGTGAACACTTCCTTCTAAACCACTTCAGAAAACATACTAACAGTTTTCTTTAGACATCTCAGTGATTAGAGCTAGATTCCAAACTCTTGAAAGCCCAGCACCAGAATTATAGTTGGCAGACATTTTGAAAATCATCCTTCTTTTGAAAGACTTTGGAAAATCGAGCTTCAGTACTCTGAGGCAGAAGCCTGCTTGCAGCAGCACTTAACTGTGTGGTTTAATTTACTTTACAATAAATCATGGTAAGTATGCTGTACTACTTGCGCTGACAAGCTCATCCATGCAGAAAGAGGGCAGAAAGGAATAAGACCCAGTGTACCGTTGTTTATTACTATATGAATGATGAATTATTTGCTGCAAAAATCCAAGTACTTCAGATTTTTTACTTGTTTAATTACATATTGGGATGGCTTCTTCCCTCCCCTTTTGGTGGCTGAGGGATGGGACACCATTTAAACGCAAACCTTTTGGTGTTCCTTCCGTTTTCTGGGATTACAAGTAATGCAAGAAGAAATAGGTAATATTCTTATACAAAGTTTTACATTGCAACCATATGAATGCTTTCACAGAACTGTGTACAGGAGGAAGTGAAAACAGAAAGTAGCATCTAATGCTTAAATGAAAGTAGAGCACTAGCATATGCTAATTGAAGATGAATTGGTCTTCAGTTTGGAGTCTTGTTTCTGTTTGCCTTTAACACTATGTATGGATGACACCTGGCAACTTGTTTATTCAAAATCTAGAGTGTTGAATTAATGAGTTCTGAGGTGATGTATATTATTACCCCCAGCTACATTACTAAAGTACAAATATTTTTGTGCCATATAAAACAGAAAAGAAAACCCAAACCACAATCCACCCAGTTCTTACACAAATGTAAGGTGAGAACCAGTTTGAACAATATTTTTCATTTCTGTAAAGTTGCTCCATAATTAGGTATTAACACCTCTTCTATGTGGTTTTACAAGAGCATTGAGAATAAGAGTGTATTTTCCTCATCTCCTAAAGTGTAATCTGAGAAATACATAAAGAACTCTAGACCATTTATGTGTTTGATTATGTCTTTCTTTTGAAATATCTCCTAGGGCAGCTGTGTGTTTATCCCTACCACAAAGCAGCTGAAAACAAGAGTGATTTAAAGAAAGAGGCTTTAATTTTAGATCAACAGCTGTAGCAAAGACATACATGATTAATAAAAAGTTTGTTTATTTGATTAAATTCACTATTCTAATAGATCATCTTGGTTTATAAACAGTCTTGTTATTCTAGCCTCAGAAACACTGGGCATTTCTATGCTCATGTATTCCACTTTTAGTAGAGGAATTAGTGAGTGGATCATAACCTTAACAGAATCTCTCACATGTTGAATAAATGATGGAAGAAAATGGTGGATGTAGGGAGAGTGGTGTCTCTAGCACACCTTTCAATTCCAAAATACTGTCATTGATGTGACCCATGTTATGATATACCATAGTCTGGAAGCCTTTCTGGAAAAGTGTGATACCTGTTAATTATTATTGTTAATTAATTAATGATTGATCTGTTTATACTTGTTAACTTATCTGTTAATTAATAGTGGCTCCAAAATTCTTCCTCCTCCTTAGACTACCCTAAGGATATGCGGTGTATTTTGCCACCTAGTCCAAACCACCTGTGCAATGCAATACTCAGGATTTCAATTGAATCTAACCTTGTTTGTTTGATTTCAGATCCCTACGTTACACTGTAAGAATGGGTTTAATTTTAACTATCCGTTGCAACGGTTGATTATGTCTTTGCATAAACTCAAACGCAGTGAGGAGCTAGATGGGAGTCCTGTGGATCTTGGGTAAATGAGAAACATGGACAGGAAGGTACCTCCAAAATACAGGAGACAAGAAAGTACAGTAAAGCTATCTGTTCCCTCTTTTGTTTTCCAATATTTCAGGGAAACTGCCTTTAGCAGCAATGCTTCTCAAATTAAAAAA